GACTCTCACTCCCTCGTCTGTCTCTCTTCGTCATTCTTTCTTCTTTATCCTCTTGCTAACGTCGCTCTGCGTTTGTTTTGAATTTGCTTCTCAGGTGATATGTCGTAACTACCAAGCAGTCGAGGTGATTTTGGAAAATAGAAGGATATTGTTTGTCGTTAGATCTTTCACTGTTGTTGATTATGATTTTGCAGCTCTGGTTATTTTTTGCTTTTAGTTGTGTGTCTGTGCTTTTGTGTTTGTGCGTGTATTTGTAAGTGTGCATGCGTGTGTGTGTGGTGTATGAGAGTGTGTGTTCATCTCATCTGTCATTGCAATATCAATGCATGTCTATCAATTTTAAGAAGGGGGTGTCAAAATTAGAAGAAAGAAAGAGGGTTGAACTAGCAGGAATGGGGATACAAATAGCAAACCCTAGAAGGGTTGTACTCGCTATAGAGCACCCCACTACAGGCTAGAACATAAGATGACATTTTGACACACCCCCATAGCCAAAGTGGGGTGTAATCAGCAGAGCAAGCAAAGCAGTACAAGCTCAGGGTGGATCACAATGTCACCACACATTCTGAGCACAAGTTCAAGACGCAATAGTTTAAAGTTAACAATTATGAGCAAAGCTAGAGGCTATCGAAGAGGGCAAGTGAGGAGGAGGAGGCGGGAGTGAGAGGAAAGGAGATAGGAGGCGACGGATGAAGCTGCAGACACACGGGCAATAGGAGGCAGACTGGCACAGCGGCTACCGGACGAAGCCCCCGGACTACAGGGGTAACTGGCCACGCGGCTAAAGTAGCGGCAGACGAGCAACGGACCCACGGGCGGCTGGCACAGCTGGCTACGACTGAGCTACCGGACGAAGTCCCCGGACTACAGGTGCTGCTAGCGACACAGCGGCATCCTTCGTTCAGCTCCCCAAACAGTCTCACCCCCCCTTGCACACACCCCCTACTGCACCCCTAGGGTCACTCACACCCCACCCCCTAGCACGACTCCATCGACTCCCACACACCCACCCCCCTCAGCGGCAGCTGCAGCAGTGGGAGACAGAGAAGGAGGAGGAGCAGGGAAGACCACACACCCGCCACCCCCATACTCGCCACCCCCATAGGGAGGTTACGGGGGAGGGGGGGCGGGGGGGGGGGGGGGGGGGGGGGGGAGCCGACGCGCGGCCTCCTAGGGCGCCAAGACAGGCAGCAGAAGGGGGGCGGCGCTCGCCCCCCTCCCCGCAAGCGGCCCCCGAGGGTCGCCTCGACAGGCGACGGGAAAAGGGGCCGCAGGCGGGGCAGGGGCCGGGACAGCGGCATGGGGCCGGGACGGGCGGCGCACGGGCGGCGACGGGCCGGGGCAGGTGGCGCACTGGCGGCGACGGGCCGGGGCAGCAGCGCGGGGCCGGGACGGACAGCGCACGGGCGGCGACGGGCCGGGGCTGACGGCGCACGGGCGTCGACGAGCCGGGGCAGGTGGCGCACTGGCGGCGACGGGCCGGGGCAGCTGCGCGGGGCCGGGACGGACGGCGCACGGGCGGCGACGGGCCGGGGCTGACGGCGCACGGGCGTCGACGAGCCGGGGCAGCGGCGCACGGGCGTCCACGGGCCGAGGCAGCGGCGCGGGGCCGGCGCGCGGGTCCCCGTCGCCCGTCGCAGCGCCTCCCGTGGGCGGCGCGCCGAGCGACGAGGCAGAAGCGCGCCGCGCGCCTCGGGGCGCACAGCGGGCAGAGAACCGCCGCGCGCCTCGGGGCGCACGGCGGGAAGAAAAAGCTGCAGCGGAAGCGAGGAGGTGGTAACCCACCCACAGGATCGATCCGAGGGGATCGACCTGCTCTGATAGCATGTCAAAATTAGAAAGAGAGAAGGAGGGTTGAACTAGCAGGAATGGGGATACAAATAGAAAACCCTAGAAGGGTTGTACTCGCTATAGAGCACCCCACTACAGGCTAGAACATAAGATGACATTCTGACAGGGGGCGCACTCAGTGACTCGTGTGTTTGCCACTTAGAACTGGATTTGATAGAGTGGACCTCTTTTTTAAAGTTAACAGATTGTATTGTTTCATGTGCTAGTTGATTATTCAAAGACTTTGCTATTGACTTCCCCCCCATGCTAGGCAAGGGATGCCGTAGCCTAGTTTTTGGGTCGTTAACTATCACGCATTTGTATGATATACTGGTGTGGTGCATTTCAACATATCATATGCATACAAAAGCATTTTCATGCATATATGTGTATTAGGTATGCACGATATATCATGTCTCATCATTACAATCATTTAAGCATGCGTGGCGTGTAATTCATTACTAGTATTCATAACATTTATTACATGCAATTATCACAATAACATCAAACATTAACAGATATAATACAAACACTATACGGTAGCATTTACGCACATAATTACTACAAAGACTGCTATCTACATGCACAATGGGAATGGTGGTACTGTAGCTTACGGATCTTATTTTCATGTTTTATTAAAAAAAATAAAAATAAAAACTGTCAAAATCGATCGTAAAGGGTTGCTTCGCAACCCAAAAAAAAAAAAAAAAAAAAAAAAAAAAAAAAAAAAAAAAAAAAAAACCAGACCCTCATCCCGGCCAAGAGGCCCGCCTAAGGATGCGCGGCAGCCCGTAGGGGATCGTTAAAAAAAAAAAAAAAAAAAAAAGAGGAGACAAGGAAGGTTGAGCAATACCTTATTCATAAGCCCACGGGTCGTCCCCATGACCAAAAGGCTAATCACCTAATACACCCTACCCCGGCTGCCCCCAACGTGCAGTGGCAGACGACAAGTGGCAAGATGTGGAGTGGGACCCGTACGAGAACGCGGTCACGGACGGCACGGTAAAGGTCATGCGCAACCGATTGCGGAACCAACTCCACTGGTGGATATTGTGGTGCGACAACAGTTTCATAATCTCAATTATTGCTATGGGTTATTGGCTGCCTTGGAAGAACACCGAACCGCCACCCTTTGAAACCGCAAACCACGCAGGTGTCCACGCACACACGACGTTCACTCGTGAGGCCATTCGCGATTTAATCACATCAGGCGCGGCAATGAAGGTCTCCTCGCGGACCGCGCTCTCGTGCATAAGTCCACTCAACGTGGTGGAACAACGCGACAAATGCCGCCTCATCCTCGACCTACGCAAGGTCAATCAACAACTTCAAGTTCCCAAATTCAAGTACGAAGATTTAAATCGGGTCTCAGAGATCATTAGACGCAACGACTGACTGTTCACCATCGACCTCAAATCGGGTTACCACCACGTCGAGATGCACCCCTCATGCTAGAAGTTCCTACGCTTCCATTTTGAAGGCGAGTTCTACTGCTTTCGAGCTCTGCCGTTCGGATTGGCAACAACACCTTTCGTCTTCACTCAGCTGATCAAGCAATTGGCCAAACGCTGACGTGCACGTGGCGTGCGTGTAGTACCATATGTCGACGACATGCTATTCCTCTGTGACTCCGCAGAGCAAGCGCGCAAGACATGCACAGAGGTTCTACACGATCTGGGGATGGCAGGTTTTGTGATCAACGAGAAGAAATCGCGCCTCCAGCCGGCCCATCAAATACGGTTTTTGGGGATGGAGCTTAACACGAAGTGCGGCACGTTCAGCATCGGGTCCGAACGGTGGGCAAAGTTCCTGGAAACGCTCAACACGCTTATCTGCAAAGGGCAACGCGGCCAACAAGTCCCAATTCGGCAAGTCGCTAGTATCACCGGAATGTTGAGCTCCATGTCCCTAGCATTGGGCACGACAGCAAGCGCCTTCAGCCACGAGCTGCTACATTTGATCGAGGCAGCGGCGTCTTGGCACTCAAGGATCCGGCTACCACGGGCCGCCATCGAGGAGCTCATTTTTTAGCAACTGCACTTTGACCAATTTAACGGCGCCCCGTTTCACCTAAGCCATCAATTCGATGCTGTGATCCACGTCGACGCGAGCGCTCACAGCTGGGGCGCCATCCTCACAAAGTCTGCCGACGATTCGTACGAGGCAAGCGCCAGTATGCCAAGTGAGCTCCTCCCAACCTCAAGCACTCAAAGGGAGCTCGAGGGAGTCCTATGGGCGCTGCAGACATTTGCGGCCCACATCACCAATGGCCATGTCTTGGTCCGCGTGGACAACCAAGGAGACATGTTCATCTTGCGCAAAGGGGGGTCCAGCCAACCCCGGCTGACACTGACATGTCAAGCGGTCATACAGTTCTGCCTCAAGAACCACACACGTCTGGCGATCGAATGGATCCCAAGTGAGCTAAATGCCCACGCGGACGAACTGTCCAAAATCCAGGACCATGACGACTACTCTCTGCAAATGCCATGGTTTCTCCTACTGTAGCGTCGATGGGGTCCCCATACGATCAACCTTTTCGCGAACGCCAGCAACAAGAAGCTGCAACGATTTTGCTCCAAAATACCGCACCCAAGCGCTACCGCAATCGACGCGTTCTCGATCTCATGGACAGGCGAGCGCTGCTTCACATTTCCGCCCCCCGGCTTGATCCCGGCCACGCTTTCTCACGCCAGGCGCACACAAGCCGAGTTGACACTTGTTGTCCCTGAGTGGCCGGGAGCAGCATGGTGGCCGCTGCTGGAACCCTCCCCACAAACATGGGCCCCAGAAGTGATCGCATGCTTGCGTCTCGCTCAAGGAAGTGAGGAAATTAGAACGAGAATGAAAATGAACTATGAATGAAGTGGGTACAAGTACTAACCCGAATTGGGTTGTACCCCCTATGGGATACCCCACTATAGCCTACACAACAGCATAAGCTATAATGTTCTGACACACCCCCATAGGCAAAGTGGGGGAGAGCAAGGTGTCACAAGACTAGTCAAACAAAGCAAAGCAAAGCAAGCTCAGGGTGGATCACAACGTCACCACACAGTCCGAGCACAAGGTCAAGGCCACAAGGCCAGTTCACATGCAAGAGTACACAAATATTTATAAAGCTAGACAAGCAAGAGCAGGTATATATATATGTGACAGTACAAGCAAGGTCAAGAGGAGAGCAAGTGAGGCAAGACGGGCACAAGACCCAGCTGAGTGCACAAGCGCTGATGATCACAAGGCCCAAGTGCCTTGGTGAAGACATCAGCAGTGTTGGCCTCAGAGGCCACGTACGCAAGTCGCAACTGTCCACGCTGCTGTAGCTCACAAGCAAGGAAGTAGCGGAGAGCAATGTGCTTTGTTCTGTGCTCCAGTCGCTGCTCTCGACACAAGGCCAGCATGGCCTTGTTGTCTACGTACAGGACTGGAGGAGAACGAGGCTGCTCTCCAAGGTCGGTCAGCACATAGGTGAGCCAGCGAAGCTCCTGTGCAGCCATGGCCCCAGCGTAGATCTCAGCCTCACAACTGGAGCCTAGAACAAAAGACGAGCGAGTAGCCCGCCACGAAACAGAGCCGGAACCAAGGCTGAAGGTGTAACCCTGTGACGACCGCTGCGTAGCCTGGTCGTCAGCCCAAGAAGCGTCCGCGTGCCCAGTGAGGACCACTAGACTCCGCCCTCCAAGCACTAGCCCCATGCCCGACGTACTGCACAAGTAGCGCAACACCCTCTTTGCTGCAGCCATGTGCTCTGGTCGGTGTCTCCCAGGAGCAACATAGCGTGCGAGAATGCTAAGAGGGTATGCAAGGTCAGGTCGTGTGCAGGTCATCAGGTACATGAGGCAGCCAACAAGCTCTGGGTACGGGCCACTCGACTCTACGGACTCATCCGAAGGCAGAGCTCAGAGTGAGTGGCGAGTAGACAGAGGAGTGGCCTGAGGCGAGGAGTACGTGAAGCCGAAGCGCTGAAGGACCTGCTGCACCATGTGTGACTGAGTCAGGGTAATTGTGCGGCGTGCTCTGTCCCGGGTGATCTGCAAGCCAAGGTAGCTGCGCAGTTCACCCAGGTCAGTGCACGTGTGTCTCTTCTGCAGCTCGGACTTCACGTAGGCGAGTCCAGCAGTGTCAGCTGTGGCAAAGACCAAGTCGTCGACGTACACGAGGATGTAGAACGGCGGTAGAGAGGTGTCGGTGCGCAGAAACAGCGACGGGTCGGCAGTAGAAGGAGCAAACCCAAGTGCCGCCAGCGTAGTCCTCAGTGTGTCGTGCCACTCACGTGGCGCCTGGCGGAGACCGTAGACTGGACGCCGGAGACTCCACTGGGTACCAGGAGGGAAAGACCCAGTGAAGCAAGGTGGGCGACGCAGCCAGATCTCCTCGTGCAGGCTGCCCTGCAAGAAAGCTGTGCTGAAGTCGAGAGAGTGCAACTCGTAGTCACGGTGAGCAGCAACGTGCAGCAGTACCCGAAGAGTGGTCATCTTCGGGGTGGGGGAGAAGGTCTGAAAGTAGTCAACTCCCTGCCGCTGGCTGAAGCCACGAGCCACGTAACGCGCCTTGAAGACAGGCGGAGAACCCGGCGGCCGCTTCACCCCGAAGATCCACATGCCACTCACGATGTTCGCCCCACGAGGGGGGACAGCGTCAACGTAGGTGCCTGTGGACTTCCAGGAAGCCATCTCTGCATCCATAGCTGCCTGCCACTGAGAGGAGTAGGGACCCTCTATCGCCTCCGCGTAAGTGCGCGGAGTCGGGATGTTAAGTGCATCCGGTTCTCCCTCAGGGGTAAGCAGTACAGACACGAGATGAGGTGAAGCAGCTGCAAGACATTGGAACTCCTCCTGCCTGTCCTCCAGGACGTCCGTGCCAAGGGCACACTCATCCCCGACGGACGGAGGACAGGCAGACTCAGACTCAACGACAAGACTAGCAGCGTAGTCTAGGCGTCAGCGAGCAGCAAAGTCGACGAGCTCAGCAACTAGGGCAGACGCAGCAGTGGACTCAAAAGAAGGGTCAGTGACGACAATAGCAAGGAGACGCGTGACAGTAGGACTGGCAGCACGAAGAGAGTCCGACTCCGGGTCCGCAAGAGCAGGAAGAGAGGACTCAGGAGGAGAAGGCAAAGGGGCACGCAGAGGAGCAGTGGACGGACGAAGAGACATCGGGTGCGTGCCAGGGACAGGAGGAGGACGCTGACGCGAACTGCGACCACTAGTGCGAGCAGCACGGACAGGCGACGCAGGGCAAGACGCCGGCTCACGACGCTCAGCAAGACCTCCAGTAGGACCTGTGTAGGGAGAAGGAGCAGGTAAAGGGGAGGTAGGCTGCAACTGTAACTGTGACGGGATAGGCTGTGGACACTCTAAGGGAGGAGGAGGATCAGTAGAAGGTGGAAGACCAAGAACCTGCTGCAGGAGTGGAACGAAGTACGGTCGAGGCCGCGTGGCGACGCCAGAAGCAGCAGGGACAGCACCAGTACCCTCAGCAGGAGCACCCGCTCCAGCAGCACCACCAGCAGCTCTAGAACCTCCAGCAGCACCAGGAGCACCCCAAGCAGGACCGCCAGCGGTAGTCTCAGCGCCAACACCCTCAGCAGCACCAGCTCCAGTCGAACCCGCAGGTCCAGCAGCTCCAGTACTCCTAGTACGAGCACCTCCGGGACCCGCGACCGCAGCACCCTCAGCAGCCGAAGAACGTTCAGCACCAGTAGTACGACGCCAGCGCCGGGCAAACCACTCGCGCAGCTCCTGCGGAGAGAGTGGCTCCCGGCGAGACGAAGCACCCGGAGAACCTCCATGCGGAGCACCTCCAGGCTCAGCACCCCCCGGCTCAGCAACCCCAGGCTCAGCACCCCCAGGCTTAGCAACCCCAAGCGTAGTACCCCCAGGCTCAGCACCCCCAGGCTCAGCACCCCCAGACGTAGCACCCCCAGACGTAGCACCCCCAGGCTCAGCACCCCCAGACGTAGTACCCCCAGGCTAAGCACCCCCAGGTCCAGCACCCCCAGGCTCAGCACCCCCAGCAGCACCAGAGTCACCAGTGACCTCAACTGGCTCGACTGCGTCTACCTGGGACACACATGAAGGGGCAGAACCCTGAGGGGGAAGGGGGTCTACCTGGGGGGGACCTGGTACCAGGAAGAGCGGGGGTGGGGGGAGGGACGGAGTGCGGTAGGGGAAGATGCGGTAGTAGGGGACCGACTCGTCAAACGTGACGTCCTGGGAGGAGAGAACACGTCGAGAGGTGGGGTGGTAGAACTGCCACCGAGGCGCGTCAGGGGGGAACCCCTGGAAGACGCAAGGAGCAGCACGAGGGGACAGCTTGTCCGCAGACAAGTCGCGGACAAACGCCCGAGATCCCCAGACCCGGAACGCCGACGCATCGCCAACCTTCCCCGTCCACAGCAAGGCTGGGGAGGTCTCCGGCCTAGAGACCCTGGGGTGGAGGTTGATCTGATGCGCCGCGTACCTCACCGCAAACGGCCACAGAAAATGGGGGGCAGCCGCATGCATCATAGACGTACGAGCGACGTCCATGACCATGCCAATGCGGCGCTCAGCAATCCCATTTTGCTGCGGGGATTCCGGAAGCGTGAAGGTCTAACGGATGCCTCGTGCTCGACAGTTGGCTCTCAGAAGGTCAGAGGAAAACTCTACGCCTCTGACCGAGTGCAGACGCAGAACAAGAAAGTCCGAGCCAAAGCTCTGCCTGAGCTAGAGACGAGCTGCGCGGATCCAGTCGATCAGCACCGCAGTGACATCACCCTTGCGGTGCAAGGGGAAGACTGCGGTGTAACGCGAGTAGTCGTCAACCACCAACAGGAAGTAGCGCTCGTGACCGAGTCCACGGACGCGGGCAGGGCCCCACACGTCCATGTGAAGCGTCTGCAACGGAGCCTCTGTCGGAGGAAACTGGGAGGAGTGAGGGGCAGCACGCTGGCGCCCCTCGACACAGGGGACACAGGTAGGGCCAGGGCCCTGAGGAAGGGGAGGGAGGGACCGGGGGAGACCAGACAGAAGAAGACGAGAGGCCATGCCTCTGAGCCGAAGTAGAGAGGGGTGGCCAAGGTGGTGGTGCCAGAGGAGAGTCTCGTGAGAAAGAAGACGACACGAACAGGGGGCAGACTCAGGACCAGACCTGGACGCCGCATCAAACACCTGACCCGACGCAGCTACCCTACGAGACTCAGCAACTGGAGGAGACGCAGTGGTCAGAATGTACAGGCTCGACCCCGGCTGACGGGTGAACGTAGCCAGGTGTCGGCCTGTGCTAGCCTCTGTGCAGTGTGTCACCCAGTGACGCGCAGGAGTGAGCTGGTGGACACCCGCATCCTGTAGGTCAGCACCACTCACCAGGTTCGTCGAGAACGAGGGAAGGTAGAGACCAGACAGGGTGCCAGAGGGAGCCGCCGGACACGGGAGGACTGTGGAGAAGCGAGACAGTACAGGACCCCCAGAGGGGTCAGCCAGAGACACCGCAACCGGCCGACTAAGCGGCGTGAGTGTGGTGCGGTCCCGAAAGAAGGAGCGAGATGCCCCAGAGTCAAGGGTGAAGGTGAGGGAGGCTGAAGCCGACGTAGTACCTGAGAGCGCAGACTCACCAGTACCTGAGGACGCAGACACACTAGCACCTAGAGCAGCAGCGTCGCAAGCACCTAGGGCAGCAGCCGCACCAGTACCTAGAGCAGCAGTCTCAATGCCCGGATCGGGCGGGAAACACCGGTAACAGTCACCCTCATCACTAATAGACACAGCATACATGGCAGAGAGGATAGCATCAAAGTCAAGATCAAAGATGGCAACACCCGCCCTAGACAGCTCGCCCCAGCGAGGGATCTCTGAGGCCTCCGGGAACTGGTGACGCCACGCGTCCGTCAGGCGGCCAAAGCAGCGCTGGGTGGGGTGCGCATCCCCACACTGCTCACCCGCACGGTCGCCAGTGCGCAGGACGTAGGTGCACGGACCAAAACCCCCACCCCGCTGGCGTGCAGTGTACCACTCAGGGAGCTGCTGAGGGGACAGGGTCTCACGACCGCGCTGCTGCTGCTGGCGCGAGCCACCACCGGAGCCACTCCTCTGCGAAGAGCCGCGACCAGCTCCACCGCCACCCCCACCGCCTCCGCCGCCTCCGCCTCCTCCGCTACTGCCGCCGCCCACGCCGCCGCCTCCACTGCCGCCTTTTCCGCCACCTCCGCTCCCACCGCCACCGCCGCCGCCGCCTCCGCCTCCACTGCCCCCACCGACCCCCCCACCCCCACCTCCACTCCCACCGCCACCCCCACTCCCCCCACCGCCTCCACCTCCACCTCCACCGCCCGCTCCTCTAGCTTCCTTGCCCCGCTTGCCCTTGCCAGGGCGGCGTCTCCCGCTAGGGGCAGACGCCGCACCGACCGACTCAAGACCAAGGAGGTCGGCCGCAACAGCAGAGGCAACAGAGGGCAGCAGGGGGGAGGGGGAACACCCCTCAAAGATGGGGGTGCGCGGGTCACCTCGAGAGGCTCCTACAGCGACTATGCTCTTCTCTATCGCGAGGAGGGCCTTCTCGAGGAGGTCGACAGTGAGTGTGGTGGGACAGACTGAGAGAAAGTGGTCCCTGACTACTCGAAGGGAGTCAGGGAGGCGAGTGACTATGAAGTAGAGAGTGATATACATTGGGGGGGGGGTCCGTGGCGCAGAAGTCAGGAGGAAGTGCAGCGCGGTAGCGAGTGTCACTAGTGCAGAGGTGCGTAATGAGGTCAGCTACGGTGGGAAAGGCAGCAAGGTCAGGGAAGAGGTACGGTAGCATGAGACGGCTCAGTGCAGCAGTGGCAGGGGAGGATTAGCGCGCGACTACAGCGTCGTACAAGGTCTGAGCACTCTTGTACTGACTAAAGTGCGCACGCTCGGAGGTAGGGAGGTGGCGACGCACAGCAAGACGTGCAGCAGCGTCGCGCGTGGCCCACTGGGAGCGAACAGTGGCGTCAGCATCAGCAGCAGGGGAAGGGGAAGCGCCAGAGGTGAGGTCAAAGAGAGAGAGGCCGTCTGCCCTATCGCACTGTAAGAACAGCTGCAGGTCGTCTACCCAGACCTCAAAGTCAATGGCCCGACCCTCAACGTCAAAACTGAGGACACTAGGGGTAGCCATGACGACAGACGACTAACAGTGCAAACAGTAGGGAGAGGGCAGTGCAGGAGAAAAGGCGCTGTGCTCACCAGACTGGGCAGCTCGGGCGTTCCGAAAGTAGGGCAGCTCAGCGGCTCAGCGGCTCGGCTGCTGGGCGGCTCGGCGGCTCGGCTGCTGGGCTGCTCGGCGGCTCGGCTGCTGGGCGGCTCGGCGGCTCGGCTGCTGGGCGGCTCGGCTGCTGGGCGGCTCGGCTGCTGGGCGGCTTGGCTGCAGGGCAGTTCGGCTGCTTGGCGGCTCTGCTGTTGGGCGGCTCGGCTGTAGGGCGGCTCGGGTGCAGGGCGGCTCGGCTGCTCGGCGGCTCTGCTGCTGGGCGGCTCGGCTGCTCTGCGGCCGGGCGGCTCGGCGGCTGTAGGTAGGGCGGCGGGTGGGCCGCAGGTAGGGCGGCGGGTCGGCCGCAGGTAGGGCGGCGGGTGGCCGCAGGTAGGGCGGCGGGTAGGGCCACAGGTAGGGCTGCGGGTTGGCCGCAGGTAGGGCGGCGGGTTGGCCGCAGGTAGGGCGGCGGGTAGGGCCGCAGGTAGGGCGGCGGGTAGGGCCGCAGGTAGGGCGGCGGGTTGGCCGCAGGTAGGGCGGCGGGTAGGGCCGCAGGTAGGGCGGCGGGTAGGGCCGCAGGTAGGGCGGCGAGCAGGCTGTGCGGCGGCGGGCCGGAACAGGCGGCGCGGGGCCGGGACGGGCGGCGCGCGGGCGTTGTCGAGCCGGGACGGGCGGCGCGAGGGCGTCGCCGGGCCGGGACGGGCGGCGCTAGGGCCGCTGGGACGGGCTTCGGGGCCGCAGCGAAGGGCGGCGGGGCCGCAGCGAAGGGCTGCGGGGCCGCAGCGAAGGGCGGCGGAGCCGCAGCGAAGGGCGGCGGGGCCGCAGGTAGGGCGTGGGGAGGCCGCTAGGGCGGCTCGACGACGTGAGAGCCCGGAGCGCGACTCGGGCTGAGCGCGCTTCGGGCAGGAAAAAAATCGATGTGGTGGGCCCTAGGCACAGTTCCCACGGGGGAACCTGCTCGATACCATGA